CAAATCCCCCCCCTGGGGTTTGGGGGTTTAGTCGGGGTTTGGGGGGCAGCGCGTGGGGGGCGGGGCTAGGGTTTAGGGTTTAGGGGTTATTGGGGGTTTGGGTTCATTGCGGAGGCATTATATATCCTTCTCTTTCTCCAGAAGATTTGATTTAAACATTTAAATGTATTTAAATGTTTAAAAGCATTTAAAGTATATTTAAATGTTTAAAAAGGTCTGCAAGTCACTAACTGAGCGAAAAGCCTTTTCAGTTTTGCAAAGTGGCTGCTGTGTGCACTTTGCGGTGTACGTACACCTGGCGCGAAGCTGCGCGTTTTCTCTCCGTTCGTTTGCATGCAAAATGCGGACTTGTGCCCTCCTATGCACATCTCTGTGTGTCATTTTTTCCGAATTATTCAAATAAAAGCAAATGCGCGGAAAATAAAGTCTAAAAAGGGCTTTGGGGAGCAAAAGCGCAAGTTTCCTTGGGGTGTACGTACACCCGAAGCTTTGCGTGCAGAAACCCCGTTTTTTCTATATCCATGCAAATCTCGAGTTTCTGAGTGCGGAAAAAGCGGAATTAGAATTCCAAACGAATATCTTTTCATTTATATCCCCTTTCTTGTCCAAAAGCCCTCGAAAAGGGGCTTGTTTGTTTTTTTTTCAGACTTCCACCGAAACATGCTGAAAGGCGGCGTCTACATCTACCCGCCCACCTTCCGCGACCCCCAGCCCTCAGTCAACATGGTCTTCCAGTGCCTGCCGCTGGCCTTTTTGGCCGAAGAGGCCGGCGGCCGCGCGAGCGACGGCTTTACGCGTTTGCTGGTAATCGAACCCACGACCTTGGGTGACAGAATTCCTTTTTTCTGCGGCAGCAAACACCTCGTGGACGTCCTCAACTTCTACATGGCCAAGAACAAACTCCGGGACGGAGGCTGGTGCTTCCGCGCCAGCAGCAGCAGCAGCAGCAGCAGCAGCAGCAGCAGCAGCAGCAGCAGCAGCGGCGGCGGCGGCGGGGGAGGGGGGGGAGGCGGCAGTGGGAGCGATACCGGCAGCGGCAGGGACGGGGAAGAGAGCGATCCCACCAGGCTAGACAAACGAAGCGACAGCGAGACGGCTAGCTAGCTGGCTAGCTAGCTAGCGAGACTGACAGCTAGCTGGCTAGCAAGCTAGCTAGCTGGCTCGGAAGCAAGCTAGCTAGCTTGCTAGCTAGCTAGCTAGCTAGCTGAATGGCTAACTAGCTGGAAAGCTAGCTGCATGGAAACCTGGCTGGCTAGCTGGAGAGCTAGCTGGCTAGCTGGATGGCTGGCTAGCTAGCTGGTTGGCTGGCTAGCTAGCTAAATGGCCATAGAAATAGCTGCAGCAGACACTGGGGGGCGTTAGTTTGCATGCAGCCCCAAAGTGAAGCAGCTAACGAACTCACAGGGGCCCCCAGCCAGCAGCGACGGGTTAGGGGCCACGGGGGGCCCCTGGGGGGCCCCCAGGGGGCCCCTAGGGGGCCCCTGGGGGTCCTTTGGGGGCCCCTTGGGGGCCCCTGGGGGTCCTTTGGGGGCCCCTTGGGGGCCCCAGGGGGCCCCCAAGAGGCAACAATGAGAGAGGCAGGGGCCCACGGCGGAGTGCTGCTGCAGGTGTGCTGCTGCAGCAGAAAAGCTGCTGCAGTTGTGCTGCAGGGGGTTTGCTGCTGCAGCAGAATGGGCCCACAGAAGAAGCATTTAGAAGGCTTTAGTGGGGGCCCCAGGGGACTCGCGGAGGGACAGAGGGGGCCCCCAAGGCCTCACGAGGGGCCCCTGAGGGGGCCCTGGGGGGCCCCCTCAGGGGCCCCAATAGAGGCCTAGTCAGCCACTAGGGGGCCCCCACAGCAGCGTGGGGGGCCCCCATGAAAAAGCTAGCAATAAGTTTCTAGAGGGCCCCGCGAGGGCCCCTGGAAGGGGTGGGGGCCCCCATGGAGGGGCCCCCCATAGTGGGGGCCCCCTGGAGGGGCCCCCGGTAGTGGGGGCCCCCATGGGGGGCCCCCTTATAGGTGCACTAGTAAATGGAAAAGGGTACAGAGAGGCAGCTGCTGCATGCATTATCGGGGCCCCGCAGCTGGCCCCAGCTGGGGCCCCCAGGTGTTTGGGGGGCCCCTCAAACCCCACAGGTGGGGGCCCCCGGGCATTTAGGGGGCCCCCCAGCCTGGGGGGCCCCCAGCCTGGGGGCCCCCCAGCCTGGGGGGCCCCCCAGCCTGGGGGGCCCCCTTGGGCTGGTGCGCCGTGTAGGCCTCCAGGCTCTGTGAAGGGGAGGTGGGGCCCCACAGCTTAATAAGTGTTATTTATTTAGAATGGACTTTGCTGCTGTTGCTGCTGCTGCTGCGGCTCAGCAGCGCAGCCCAGCTAGCCACAGCTAGCCACGACGCAGCTAGCTAGCGAGCTACCCTGCGTGGCTAGCCAGCTGTGCTTGGCTAGCCAGCTGTGCTTGGCTAGCCAGCTGTGCTTGGCTAGCCAGCTGTGCTTGGCTAGCTAGCTGGGTTTGGCTAGCTAGCTGTGCTTAGCTAGCTAGCTGTGCTTGGCTAGCTAGCTGTGGCTAGCTAGCTGTTCTTAGCTAGCTAGCTGTTCTTGGCTAGCTAGCTGTGTTTGCCTAGCATGAGTGCCTCATACTTCTGGTTTGTAAGAAAAAAAGACAGGCAAAACGCAGGTCCGGTTTGGGGAGGCTCCAGGGGCCCCTGGGGGCCCCAAGGGGGCCCCCGGGGGCCCCCTAGGGGGCCCCTGAGGGCCCCTTGGGGGCCCCTAGGGGCCCCTTGGGGGCCCCTAGGGGCCCCTTGGGGGCCCCTAGGGGCCCCCGCCACAAGAGACAAAAAGGAGCATTTCAAAGAGACACAGATCTTAAAAGGACTGGAGCGTCCAGTACTCTTTGAAGGTACCTTAAGGACCCTAAAGGGCCCCCCGGGGGCCCCTGGGGGCCCCCCAAGGGGCCCCCCGGCGGGCCCTTCCAGAGGCCCCCAGGGGGCCCCCTGCTGGGGGCCCCCCCGGAAGTTGGGGGCCCCTAGGGGCCCCCTGAGGCCCATTGGGGTCACAAGGACCCTGTGGGGCCCCCGAGGGTACAACAAAAGGGGACAAAGAAAAGCTGCTGCTGGCAGCAGGGGCCCCCGGGGCCCTTGCTGCTGCTGCTGCTGCTGCTGCTGCTGCAGCTGCCCATAGTTGGGCCTTGGTAGGTGGGCCTTTTGAGCTGCTTAGTCTCAAGGGCTTAGGGTTTAGGTAGGTTGGGGGTTTGAGGCCTAGGGTTTAGGGTTTGGGGGAGCGAAGGGTTTAGGGTTTAGGGTTTTTTAGGGTTTAGGGTTTGGGCTGCTGCTGTGGGTCCGCCGAGCCGTTGGTCAGGCAGTCTCGATGAGGGAGTTCGAGTGGTTTTTGATTTTATTTGTTTATTTATTTATTTATTTATTTATTTTATTTATTTTAATTTATTTTAATTTATTTTTATTTATTTTCTTTTATTTTTTGTCCTTGAAAGCAATTCATTCGCTCAAACGGCCGTGGCCTCGCAGCAGCAGCAGCTGGCGCAGCAGCAGCAGCAGTGCTGCTGCCACCTGGGTTCAAACTGCTGCTGCAGCTTCTGGCCGCAAACCCGTAAACCCTAAACCCTTTTCCCTAAACCCTAAACCCTAAACTTTCATATTTTTGCACACTTCATCTTGCTGTGCCGCCTCTCAGCCGAGAACCGACGGGCGACGCCGAAGTAGCATCGACCGCCAAACTCCAAACCCTAAACCCTAAACCCTAAACCCTAAACCCTAACAGATATAGCCAACGCCCAGCGAAGCTATTTAAACCCGCTTGCTGAGCGGAGCTAGGGTTTAGGGTTTAGGGTTTAGGGTTTAGGGCGTAGGTTTGGCTGCTGTGTGACCACGCGGAGTCAGATGACGCACCAGTGCCCCGGCCAAACCCTAAACCCTAAACCCTAAACCCTAGGTCGCCAACGAATAAGTTTAATCCAAGATGAGGGGAGCTGCTAGAGACACAGAAGCCTCTCGTGGAACTTCCAGTGCTGCTGCAGCAGCAGCAGCAGCAGCAGCAGCAGCAGCAACGGCAGCAGCGGCACCAACAGCTGCTTCCCCACGGGCCGAAGCAGCAGGAGCTGCTACACCCTCATCAGCAGCAGCAGCACCATCGTCCCCAGCAGCAGCAGAAGCAGCAGCAGCAGCAGCAGAAGCAGCAGCAGCAGCAGCAGCAGCAGCAGCAGCAGCAGCACAGAAGAACATCCCGCTGCCTTCTGACGGCAGCAGCCAGGAATCCCCCCAAGAGGCCTCCCTAGGTGTCCGCTCGGGGGGCCCCCCAGGGGCCCCCGCCTCCGGGGGGCCCCCAGGGGGGCCCCTCCGCCAGCCCGGGGCTGCTGAGGCCCCGGTCCCCTAAAGTGCGCTCGAGGTCCACAAGTCCAAGTCCTTCTTCAAGTAGAAGAAGGCGAGACCCCAGCAGCAGCAGCAGCAGCAGCAGCAGCAGCAGCAGCAGCAGCAGCAGTAGCAGCAGCAGCAGCAGCAGCAGCGGCGCATGCAAAATAAACGTGGGGCCCAAGTTCCAAGCCCC